AATATAAGTTTCATTTGATTAAAATTATTTGATTCGCTTTCAACCTTAGTCTGCAATGCTCAATTTACCCCGGAATTAAAAACAATCCAATTTACACATTGAACTCGATAAAAAGATTCAAATTTCACTTTTTACAAATAATTGTCCGGTCAGATCCACGTCATTTAATAAAGTGTCAATTGTGCATTTGATGTGGAAACTTGAGGGGTCACAACCCAATCAAGTATTAAAAACTGTGAAAATAGAAAATATATAAATATATATATATATATATATATATATATATATATATATATACATGCAATACAAGTCCAAAATATAAAATATAGACATCTATAAAATAATATAAATAGAAAATATTTATATTTAGTGGTAAACTCAAAATAAAAAATAAAACATAATCTAAAAGAAATGCTTTAAATTTATTTCCATATATTATATTTATATTTTATATATAGAAGTGGGATCAATGACTAAATATACTAAGCACGTACATATACATATACATATATATATATATATATATATATATATACACATATATATACATTAGCTTACTTTATACGGTATAAAGTAGACATAATTAGTGTGTAGCGTATACAATTATTAAATATTAATATAATATATGTATTGTTTACATACATATCTAAATGAGGTTTATATTTTAGTTTTAATATAGTACTTCCTCCATCCCAAATGATGGTCCTGTATTTTCTATTTGAGTTGTCCCGAAATGATGGTCTTGTTTTCTTTTTTGGTAAGGAAATTAAAGTAGATTACCATTTATAACCCTACTTTTTATGAACAATAAAAGTAAAGAAATGAACAATACAATAAAGTAAGGTTATACTCCGTATGAGTCATTCTACCTCACTTTCTTAATATTTGAACCCAAAAAGTATAGGACCATCAATTTGAGACGGAGGGAGTATAATTTTTTATGTTGTCTATATTTAGTACTAATTATAAAAGTAAATAATCAAATAGTACGAAATATATATGAAATGGAAAAATATTAAATAAATTAAAAAATGAAATGAAAAATATACAATGTAAAATATAACTATAATATAAATTATAAAACCACAACCTAAAATATGTTTTATAATAGAAAATATTAGATATAATCAGTGGCGGACCCAAAACTTTTCTGAAGCGGGGCACTCCCGCATAGATGGAAATAGATCGAGTCGGGTCAAATCGGGTGCAAGGTTGTTAAAATCTAGATTTAAATCGTAAAATCGTACGATTTTACGATTCTAAATTAGTATATCGATTCAAATCGCAGGTAAAATCGTAAAATCATAAAATCGTACAAAATCGTATTGAATCGTTTAAAATCGTAGCGAAATCGTAATACGTTTTTTAGTGAAAATGGTTCAAATTTATTAAAATTAACTACTACAAATTGATACATAATTATAATAATAATTATAATAGCATATTTAAAAAAGTAACGGATTCTTGTGTTATTTAATTATTTTTATTTTTTACATATGTTTAATGTTATTATTCACTACATTATAATAATAATTATAATAGCATATTTAAAAAAGTAACGGATTCTTGTGTTATTTAATTATTTTTATTTTTTACATATGTTTAATGTTATTATTCACTACATTTACATTATTAAAATAGTTTATAAGTCATGCTTTAATTTGGACCTTGTAGGTATAGTTTTATGTAATGAAATGATATAATACCATTAACTTGCGGCTTAATATTAATATTTATTTATTTTATAATTATTAAGATATGTTTGATAAAATCTTATGATTTGCGATTCGATTTTACGATTCGATTTTCAAAAACATCTACTGATTCGATTCAAAAATACGATTTTAACAACCTTGATCGGGTGTATTTAATTTCTTATCGCTGCACCATTAACATAGGAGTATAAAATACGGAGTAATAAATTAATATAGGAGTATAAAATAATTATAGCCACTTCCTCCTGTCGGATTTCAGAATTCTTTTTTTAAAGGGAATTTTTGAGTAATATGATCCTAAAAATGAGTATCGTGAAATCTGTTTCAAATGATATTTAATCCACAATACTAAAATTAACTAATTTCCTTAAATTTCACTAAATTTCACTCAAATTCCCTTAAAATTAACTAATTCCCTAAAATTCCCTTAAAATTAACTAGTTTCCTTAAATTTCACTAAAATTCACTAAAATTCACTTAAAATTAACTAACGTCCAATAATTAATATTATTAAACTATAAACATGCACAATACGTTAATGGCATTTAATCCACAATACTAAAATTAACTAATTCCCTTAAAGAGTTGGATTTGGGGTACACACTTTTTGTGTACACACTTTTTACACATGTCTGTGTAAGGTTTTTTTAAGTCTGTACAGACATAACGTATTTTTGAAATACGTTATGTCTGTACAGACATAACAAAAACCTTACACAAACATGTGTAAAAAGTATGTACACAAAAAAGTGTGTACCTTTAGAATTTTTCTTCCCTTAAATTTCACTAAAATTCCCTTAAAATTAACTAATTCCCTAAAATTCCCTTAAAATTAACTAATTCCCTTAAAATTAACTAGTTTCCTTAAATTTCACTAAAATTCACTAAAATTCACTTAAAATTAACTAACGTCCAATAATTAATATTATTAAACTATAAACATGCACAATACGTTATTGTCATTTAATCCACAATACTAAAATTAACTAATTCAGTTAAATTTTACTAAAATTCACTAAAATTCCCTTAAAATTAACTAATTCCCTAAAATTAACTAATTCCCTTAAATTTCACTAAATTTCACTAAAATTCCCTTAAAATTAATTAATTCCCTAAAATTCCCTTAAAATTAACTATTTCCCTTAAAATTAACTAATTTCCTTAAATTTCACTAAATTTCACTAAAACTCCCTTAAAATTAACTAATTCCCTAAAACTCCCTTAAAACTAACTAATTCCCTTAAAATCAACTAGTTTCCTTAAATTTCACTAATATTCACTAAAATTCACTTAAAATTTACTAATTCCCTAAAATTCCCTTAAAATTAACTAATTCCCTTAAAATTAACTAATTCCCTAAAATTTCACAAAAATTCACTAAAATTGCCTTAAAATTAACTAACGTCCAATAATTAATATTATTAAACTATAAACATGCACAATACGTTAATGGCATTAATTTAATCCACAATACTAAAATTATCAACATCTTAATCTTATTAATAATGCACATTTAACAATTTACTAAATTAAATAATATGAGCAAATCCAATAATTTGAGCATATATATATAATAAACACATTTAAATTAAATAATACTTAAATTTAACTAATATTATATTTTTTTTTTACAAATTTACGTAATTCACAATCATAAATCATCATACTTAAGTAATGTTTCAATTAACTAACCCTAATTTAAATCATTATTAATCCTAAATTAGGCCGTCTTAATTAACAATAATTGCTAATATATAAAGAAATCATATATAATAATATATATAAAGTCATTTGAATTAAATAATACTTACATTTAACTAATATTAATAATATGCATTTAAATTATATTTAATCATATATACTTACATGTACATATTTAACTAATTTACGTAATTTTAATTAATTAAATACCACTTAATTAACGCTATATATATGTTTAAATTACACCTACGTTTAACGTAACTAAATTTAAGGAATTTATTTTGGTTAATTAATTAAGTATGTAATTTAATTACTTAATGCATTTAAATGCATTTAATTTAAATTTAACTAATACTATTAACAAAAGTTTAATTAACTAATGTAGCTAATTGATTTAACTAATGTAGCTAAAATGAACCAACTAATTCATACAAAAAATACGTAATTGAAATTACATACCTTATCTGCATAAACAGGAAAAATGATATGAGATGGGTAGATCACATCCTTCAAATCTATCTGGAATTCTATCTGGAGTTGACGGTGTGATTTTGTTGAATGAAGCGGAGTGTGCATATATAAAACATCTAGTCACGGACGTAGTCACGGATGTGTCTGTGACTACATATTTTTTGTACGAAAAAATTAATTTTGCACTTGTCACGGACTTAACTTTAGTCACGGAACTAGTCACGGAACCATCCGTGACTAATTTCAAATTTAAAAAAAATCCCGCCGGAGGCGAAATTGGGTTGGTCGGAACACGTTAGTCACGGACCACATCCGTGACTAACTATAGTCACGGACGTAGTCACGGATTTGTCCGTGACTACTTTTTTTTTAAACGTTCCGTGACTAAACCGTGATTAGAACCGTGACTAACTAGTCACGAACCAGATCCGTGACTATGGTCCGTGACTACAAGCGAATTTTTTTGTAGTGGTATTTAATTATTTAATTATTCGAAACCCTCCCCTAGTCGGATTCCACAATTCCGACTCCCGTATTATTGTAACCTAAACGGAACTCCCGTAATTTAGCTTGTCAGACAGGAAAAGCCCGCATTTTGGTAATTTCTTCCATGCGTAACGGCCGAGTCATATAAGGATAATAATTACTCCCTCCGTCCCCTTTTAAATGGGACGAAGGAGTGTGGCACGCCAACCAAGACACAACACCTTTTTGAACTCCTTTTTGATAAATTAGCCAAATACGGAGTACTAAATAAAGTTAGGGGTAGTAGTGCTGTGTACAGTGTATATGTATAAAGTATTCCAAGAGGACAAAAGCAAAAGTATATATTGCTTACCATCCAATAAAGCAACATACTTTCACCATCAAATATTTGGCTCCAAAAAAGCAACTTTCGTTTTCATTGAATTCAAAATTCCCCCCAATTACAAATGCAGTAACACAAAAAGTACAATAGCAGTCCTTTATTAACACTCCTACGTGAGAATTAAATCTCCTACAACTACAATCTGCAACAACTTTGTTCTACACCAACTTGTCTGCAAAATATTCAAAGCAACAAGGCTGCAATAAATGATGTAGCTATGGCCATTCACAAGAAGAATTTGTCAGATGCTGAGCGGGAGAGCATTGTCAATATTTTTCGGGAAAAAAGACACCGGCTAGGGGGAACATTGCAAAAAGGTTTCATCAGCAAGACAGCAGCTGCATACAATGTTAACAAGAAGACAATGAGTAGAATTTGGTCCATTGCAAGGAAGCAAATACAACTCCAAACGGTGATAAATGTGAAATCCAAAAGGTGGGGCAAAAAAAGAAGGCCAAAGAAGGAAATAAATAACACCATAGTCAGTCAAATTCCACTGAAACAGAGAACAAATATAAGAAGACTTGTCAAAGCTCTACAAATGGGCAAAACAACAGTTCACAAGGCACTAAAAAGAGGAGAACTCAGGAGTCACAGCAATGCAATTAAGCCCTATTTAACTGAGGAAAATAAAAGGAACAGGCTCAGGTTTGTACTTTCTCAAATTCAGCCTACTTTATTGATGGAGTATCCCAAGTTCATTGATCATCAAAACTACGTCCATATCGATGAAAAGTGGTTCTTTTTTATAACACCGTCATATATATACATACACATACACATACATGCATAGTAATAAGTAATAACAATAATAATGAGAAACAGCAGTAAACGAGGACACATGCGTAACAGCCGAGTCATATAAGGATAATAATTAATAAATAAGATTTTTAACTTATGTGACTGGCAAGTCTAGAATGTTCAGGGCATGTATATAAATAGCGTGATCGAGGGAGGATTTTGCACGTAGAAGCCAGCGATTCTGCGAAGCCAAAGCCTATCTGCCGGTGACGTCAGAAGAGGAGGAAGCACCGCCGGAGAAGACTTCAATGACACCGGACAATGAAGCTTGATCGTGTTGCCACCGCTGGAGTGACCGAGTGATTCACTTCCCATGCCGCTGCTAGGAATCACCAGACTGTGCCGCTATGTAGTTGTACACCGCTGAAGAGGTTCTCATTGCCGGAGTTGTTGCCGGATTATTTTGCTCGATTGAGAAGGAAAGAGGAGAGCCGCCGTTCTGCGCCACCACTGGCCAGGCCGCCACGTCGCTGCCGGTATCCATAATGTTGACGTCGAAGATGAGAGTGCTGGAATGGCGAACACCGATTCGAACGATAACCTTCTTCCCTGCGTCGCCAGAACTGTTTGCGAAGAAGACGACTCGATGCGTACGAAATTCTTACTCCGTATTGCTATTTTGTTTTATTTCTTCTACTAGGCCGCTGAAATTTTAGTAGCTAGGCCGGATACATTAACTAATGAGATAATTATCCTAGGTGTGACTAAAACTTATTCACTTTCCCAATCTATGACCTAACTAGTTTTTTTACAAAAATAATATTAAAATTCATAATATTTAATTAAAATTCGTTATAAATAAATAAATACATAATTTAGGTGGACAAATATACCCTTTAGATCATATCTATAAATCCCTAAGCTCCTAATCTTTTCTCCAACCCTAGCCTCCATTCTCACACCTCCACAGATCAACCCGTTTTCTGCCGCATGCCCCCTGCCGCCGCCGCTCCATGGCACGCCGTCCGCCGCCGCTCCGTGGCCCGCAGCACAGCCACCTGCTGTCGTCTCAGGCCGTTCTCTGTAATCTTCGTCTCTTTCTCAATTACGTTCTCCGTCAGATGGAGATGGTGAGATGGAGTAAGGGTCGTGGCTAAGTGGGTCCCCACCCAGAGTTCCGATGGCGAAGAAGCAGCGGAAGAGGTTAGAGAGAGCTTCGGTGGAAGAATCTTGGTGGTCGTCCATTCAGTGGAAGAATCTTGGTAATCTTGGAAGAAAATGTGTTGGCCGTTCTTCCTCCTTCGTGAACAGTTGCTGATTGGGCATTGAAAATGAACATGTCAATAAATCTTGTGTATGGGGCTTTGGGCAGTGGGCAGTAAGGCAATAAATCTTGTGTATATGGGCAGTGGGCAGTAAGGCAGGTTTTTTTGTGTGTATGGGGCTATGGGCAGTAAATAAATAATATGGAGTATTATACATAGCACTGAATAAATGCATTGAACAAGTTTATTGTGTAGTGATAAAGACCAGTAAGGCAGTGAGACAGAGTAATAATGCTGTCATGAAATGCAATATACTTAATTTGACGTAAAATAATAAAAGGATTAAATCTATAAAAGAAATTCCTCAAGTGAATGAGAAGAGAATTAATTTTAGCAGAAGTGCAATGATTATTATAGGATGTGCAGTAAAGTCATGCATTAATTTTGTGCAGTAAGGGCAATATATAAAATGCAGTAATTTTAATTAGACGAAATTAGTGCAAAATGCACATATTTTAAATAAGGGTATTTTCGTCATTAAACCTTTAAATATAAACGAATTTTCTTTTTTTTTGGGGATTTTCGGTCATACAAAGGTATAAAAACTAATTAGGTCATAGATCGGGAAACTCATTGAGTTTTAGTCATATCTTAGGAAATTTCCCATTGTATGACTAAAACATGATCTACTTCCCAATATATGACTACTTGAAGTTTTATTCCCATTGTATGACCGCACACGATCATCTACATGCACATGTATTTTAAGTTTGTTTTTAATTCCAATAGTTCCCACATATTTAATTAATGGGATGTTGTTCTCATCCTAAAATAAACGGTTGGTCGAGCAAATCACGTACGACACTCGCACAGATAACTGCTTTGAGACATAACATGTGGCTTGGGATTCTCCTAAAAATAAGGAAACAATGAACTACTGCCCTGTTTGATTTGTACCTATCAGAACACGTTCTCCTTCACCGAACGTAACTCTACCTTTCTTCTTCACGACTCACCTTTACTGTTTTAGAAATTAATATAGTATGACACACCTTTTCCAGATTACTACCCTATTTCAAACATTGTACTATTGCCTTGTTTCATCACATTTTTGAAATTAGTAAGACGGGCCTTTTCCCGATTAATGCCCTATTTCATCACATTTTAGGGTCTTTTACCAAAAAACGGGAAAACTTGGATGGGGTTGCCAAAATACGAGGATTTTTTTAGGGTTTACCAAAAGGGGGGAGTCGGAACACCCATATCCGACTAGGGATAGGGTTTCGAAATAAAATACCTCCCCTCCTGTCGGATTAGCCACTTCCGACAAGGGATTTATATATATATGTATTTTTTTTTGACGAATTCTTAAGTTTTTGATTTTAAAAGTTTTTAAAATCAAAGGTTTCAAAAAAAAAAAACTCCCATGTAAGAGTTCCGACTGAAGGAGTGTTTGTGGATTAAGTTTTAAAGTTTTTTAAAATTCCATAAATTAAGTTGCTACTAAAGTGTAATTAATTGTAAAGTTTTGAAATCAGGTTTTTTAAAATTCCCTCCTGTCGGATATGCCACTTCCGACTAGGAGGTTGGCCGAATTGTAAAAGTGCTTCCTGTTTTAAATTAAAATTTTTAATTTTTAAACACTTCAGAAAGTTTTAAACTAAATTGGCCAATTTAATTCCTGTTTTAATTTTTAAAATGGCCGATTTGTTTTTTTAAATTAGTGGCGGAATTGTAAAAGGTTTTGATTTTCAAAGTAGTGACACTTTAGACTAGTTTTTTCGCTATTTTGCTCAAGACCTTGGGATTATTTGTAATTTTCATCTTTTTAATTAATGACAATTATTTCTATTCATCCTAATTCTATTGATTCTTCAATCATGAGTCGAGAATAGTTTTAATTATGGATTTGGGATTGATAAAGGGCTTAATCACGATGTATGACTAAATTCGTGATGGTACTACTACTACTACTACTGTTACTCCTCATCATCATCATCATCATCCTCCTCCTACTACTCCTACTACTCCTCTTCCTCTTCCTCCTACTACTACCCCTACTACTCCTCCTACTACTCCTAGTGCTCCTCTTCCTCCTACTACTACTACTCCTACTCCTCCTCCTCCTACTACTACTCCTACTACTGCTATTCCTCCTCCTACTACTACTACTACTCCTCCTCCTCATCCTACTACTACTACTATTACTACTACTACTAGTACTCCTACTACTCCTCCTACTAATACTACTACTCCTACTCCTACTAGTGCTACTACTCCTCCTCCTACTCCTCCTCCTACTACTCCTACTAATACTACTCCTCCTACTACTACTACTCCTACTACTCGTACTACTACTACTACTACTACTCCTACTACTACTGCTACTACTCCTCTTCCTCCTCCTTCAACTACTCCTACTCCTACTACTATTACTACTACTCCTACTGCTGCTGCTACTACTACTACTACTCCTACTCCTACTCCCTCTACTACTCCTCATACTACTACCACCACTCCTACTGCTACCACTACTACTACCACCGCCACCACCACCACCATCACTACTACTACTCCTACTACTGCTATTATTACTATTACTACAACTACTACTACTACTACTCCTGTTCCTCCTCCTTCTCCTCCTACTACTACTACGACCACCACCACCACCACCACCACCACCACTACTACTACTGTTGTTGTTGCTACAACTACTACTCCTCCTCCTCCTCCTACTATTACTACTATTTTGAGTTGAAAAATATGTCCTCACTGCTCGAACACTTTGTAAATGCCTTGCTTCGAGTATCGCTTGTTGATCATAATCAAGCGTGTATACACGATTCCAACGGTCCGCCCGCAATTGCCATATTAGGACCCTAGTGTGCTAGGTGACCTCTTCGTCTTTATTGTGAGGTAGGATTGTACTCTTCATCTTTGGATTCTAGTTCATACCATACACGGTCCGCACGATGGGAATTCGGTGGCAACGTCAGTAGTAAACGATCATCAGTAGTCTAGAATTTGATAGCTAAATTTAACTCTAAAATTCTAATTTCACAATCTAAATTAAAAATTTACAAATTACTAAAATACGTTTTTCTAAAGTCCTAAAACCGAAATTTAAGTCAAATTCTAAATTTAACACACTTTTTAACTATACAGAATTTTATAGCTAAATTTAACTCTAAAATTACAATCTAATACTAGTATAAAATTCTAAAAAATCACCAATAGCTAAAATTCGAAAGTTAACTAAAAAATCCCATATTACTAAAATAATTAACTACTTCTGAATTCCTAAATTCGAAATTTAACTAAAATTATAAATTTAACTCAATTTCTAAATTTCTAGAATTTCATAGCAAAGTTTAACTCTAAAATTCCAATTTCACAATCTAAAATTTAAATTTTAAAAGTTACTAAAATAAGTAATTAATAATTATACGGAATCCGTAATTTATAATTTTAAAATTTTAGTAATTTTAAAGGTTACTAAAATAATTAAAATCTAAAATCAAGATTCTACACAAGTGATAAACTTTGAGTTGATTGAGCAATGATTGAGCAATAAGATTTCTACACAATTAGTAATTTATAAAATCAGACCATTTTACTCCTAGTCGGATTAGGGAGTTC